TTCTGTCCTTTCCCCGCTCAGAGACCCAGGTTGTTGCACGCATCTCTGCTTGTCTAGCTGACATCTCTCAGTGGATGTCTGCTCACCAGCTCAAGCTCAACCTTGACAAGACTGAGCTGCTCTTCCTTCCGGGAAAAGATTGTCCCACTCTTGACCTAACAATCAACATCGGCACCTCAGTTGTTTCCCCGACTCAGACTGCAAGGAATCTGGGTGTGACCCTAGATAACAACCTGTCCTTCACTGCAAACATCGCTGCTACAACCCGTTGCTGCAGATACACGCTTTACAACATCAGGAGGATGCGTCCCCAGCTGACCCAGAAAGCGACGCAGGTTCTGGTCCAGGCTCTCGTCATCTCACGCCTAGACTACTGCAACTCCCTCCTGGCTGGTCTACCTGCATGTGCCATCCGACCTCTGCAGCTCATCCAGAATGCAGCGGCTCGTCTGGTCTTCAACCTTCCTAAATTCTCCCACACCACTCCGCTCCTCCGCTCCCTCCGCTGCCTTCACTGGCTTCCGGTAACTGCTAGAATCCACTTCAAGACACTGGTACTTGCTTACCATGCTGCGAATGGATCTGGCCCTTCCTACATCCAGGACATGGTTAAACCGTACACCCCAGCGCGTGCACTACGCTCTGCATCAGCCAAACGACTCGTTGCGCCCAAGTTCCCATCGGCGAAAACACGTGGGTTTGCTGTCCTGGCTCCAAGATGGTGGAATGAGCTCCCCATTGACATCAGGACGGCAGATAGCTTGCACATCTTCTGGCGCAAACTGAAAACTCATCTCTTTCGACTCCACTTCGAGCGTTAGAACTATTAACGAAGCACTTTTATACTAATAAAGGACTGGCTTACCTAAAGCCAGTTGAGTAGCACTTGAAATGTTTGGCTCTATGAAACCTGATGTACTTATATGATTCTGTTTTCTTCAAGGTTGTGTCTTCCTGGTCGAATGTACTTATTGTAAGTCGCTTTGGATAAAAGCGTCAGCTAAATGCAATGTAATGTAATGTAATGTAATTAACCTTAACCTAACCAAGTCTTCACCCTAAAATTAATGATTCCCCTCATGGGGACTTCCAATTTGTCCCCATAAGGGAGGCGAGTCCCCACACGTGACTGTGTAAACAGATTTAGGTTCCCACAAGTATAGTCAGGCCAGGCACACACACACACACACACACACACACACACACACACACACACACACACACACACACACACACACACACACACACACACACACACACACACACACACACACAACATAACAATGAACATTGTGTGCACTCACACACAAACTCTCAGTAAACAAAATTGAAAAGGTTTGTTATCTTACTTTAAATTAGTGAGACTTCTGACATTCCTTGCTTTGAACAATCCTCCTCAAATCTGGCTTGTATTCCGTTGTGGCCACTCGAAGCAATTCTCTCACATGTGTGTCAGTCAGAACAGATCGATGCTTGGATTTCACATGTTTCAGGGTAGAAAACACAGACTCACAGACGTATGTTGACCCAAACATTGAAAGTAGCTTGAGCGCAACCCGTTTGACATTTGGGTATTTTTCGATCGGCACAGTTTTCCAGAACTCAAGGGTCCCTTCCCTCAGAACAGGTTTCAGTCGGTCATCCTCTGAAAGTTCGATCATCTCCAACTCGGCCACCACCTCGTCCTTGACTAGCGGGGTTTTCAAACAGTCTGTCTCAGCATTAAAAGGATCGACGAGGAACGTAATCTGTGGCCTTTTCACATGTAGATCATGGAACCGGGTCGCAAAGTTTTCCTGCAGGGTTTCAATCAATATTGCATAACGGGCTGTTTGCTTTTTCCGGGTGGCACCGGTGGCTTGTGCGCTTGCTTTTAGCAGAGAGGGAAAATGCGCTAATTCTCCCTTTTGAAGATGTGTCTTAAACAGTTTCAGTTTGTTAACAAACGCAAATACACTTTGCACTAAGTCAGGCAGCATTTTTAACTTTCCCTGCAGATCCAGGTTCAGTCTGTCCAGATAACACAGCATGTCGACCAAAAAGGCCAGATCCATAATCCACTTGGGGTCTGAGAGCTCCGGATAATCCTTGTCCTTCTGTTCCATGAACAGTTTCACAGCATCCAACAGCTCAAAGAAGCAAGACAGCACTTTGCCTTTAGAAAGCCACCTCACAGTGCCGTGCAGCGGCAGGTCTCCTGGAAGCCCTTGGTCGAGTTCAGCGATGAGATTCTTAAATTGCCTGTGGTTAAGAGCATGCGTGCGGATGTAGTTTACAATTTCCATCACAGGCTTCATTACGTTGTCTAAATTCAGTGATTTGGACACAAGTTGCTCCCGGTGAATGATGCATTGGAAATTCCAAAATTCGGGAAATGTGTTGTCAGCTTTGCACAGCCCCGTTCACAGATCCGACCATTGATGGCGCTCCATCCGTGGCTATTGCAGTTAGTTTCTGCTTGGGCACATTTGCTTTCACAAACACATTTATCATTGTTTCTTTTACATCGATGCCACGGGTTCTGTCTTTTAATGGCACAATATCAAGGAGTTCTTCTTTTATAACACAATCCTTTGAGACTGATCGTGCAAATATTGCCAACTGAGGCTTGTCTTGTATGTCACAAGACTCATCCAATGCCACACTGAAAAACTCACATGTTTGAAGATCAGAGTGTAACTGCGCTTCAATGGCGGTGTTAATGTCCGATATTCTGCGTTCAACAGTGTGGCGGGACAGTTGGACGTCTGATACCGCTTGTTTCAGTTTTTTGTTTTCTGGAGACAAGATTTCAACCACGTCACTGAGGCATTTTTGAACAAACTCCCCTTCATTGTACGGCTTTTTAGCTTGTGCTATGTTCCAAGCAACTTGATAAGATGCAAGTGTTACGGTCTCCGAGTGCTTCGTTATTTTTTTTTGAAAAACTGTGTCTGCTTTTCTGCCTGACTTTTCAAGGTGTTTATCTTCTGCTTGCGAAGTTCCGTACCTTTTGGGAAGTCATGGTCGATGTTAGCATGGAGTGAGGTGAAATGGCGCTGAAGATTTGAAGCCTTGAAATGGGTTAATGCTGTCTGTCTAGATAAGGCAAAATGGCTTGCAATTGCGTTCGATAAAAAAATATGAACTCTCCCACTCTACTAAAAACGTCCTATGTTCGTATTCATATTTTCACTTAGCTGTGCATTTCTTCCCTGCCATTTTAGGATCAAACTCAATTCATGGTCAGATAGTGTTTAATACTCGATTCTGATTGGTCAATTCAGAACACGTGACACGTTGTTAATCCAGAACAGACAGACCGCTGTCAAGCAGTTCCTGCCGTTGCTACATTCAAACAGTAACAACGCACTATTTCTCTTAGCAGATGCATGTCATTTTAAATAAATAATAGCGTACTATTTTTTTAAATCAATAAAAACATTTTCTAAATCTATAAAAGCATTTCAATTAATATTGGGAGTCATATCGTTACTTTGTTGAGAATGTGGCCATGTAATAAGCGGGATAATGGGAAAATAACACCCTTCATGCAGATCTAGACACCTCCGCTTCGCTCCTGATCAAAATTAGACGGCGGCGCTGTCATCCTCTCATACTGACACCAGTAGCGTGGCGTGGGGAAAAATGTAGGGGAAGCCCATTTTTTGGGTCGGGGGGGGTGGTCAATAACGTAACCAGATGAGTGATTACAGCACCCGGTATCATTTTACACACATTTGTATCACACAGATGCAGGACTTGCACTCGCCTGTTATCTAACCGAAAGGTCCGCACGCACTCTCCAGCTGAAACTCTCCTTATTAATTTAAGCATTTTACTTATTAATGTATGCAGACAATAACACAATCTATGTGATTTTTGGATTTACCGTGCCTCTCAATTGCCCGTGACAGGTTGGCAAGGTCGATGAATCCTGAAGTTGCCCAAGGATTGTTCAGGGAGCACGAATCCTTGTCAAAAAGAAGACATGGCCAGCAAAATAGACGCTGAAGTTTAGCGCTTCCAGTTAGCCACTCCGTGCGGACATAATTGTCCTCATTGAACGTCCGATTCTCTCCCTTTTTCCTCTGTGTACACACAGCTCGAGTGCGGGCATTGGCCTGTCATCTGATTTAATTTTCAGTTGCTGCTGTAGCAGAAGTTTAGTAAAGTTATGTTTGATTAAGTACGCCAAATCTCCACCCTCCATAATGCTTCATTTGCTTGATAATTTCTGACGGCGGTGATGACAGTTACAGTATTAAAACTGATGTTGATGTGATTTGATTGGATGGCAGTGTCCAATCAAATCGCCAGCCGCCAGCCGCCTCTGAAGGGAAGCAAGAGGCGGCTGGCTTCCCTTGGCATGGCCTTGACCAATCACAGGTTGGCAGGGGCATCACGTGGGCCTCATCTGATTGGTCAATCCCTCCATTTTTTTTCACCAAGGGAAGCTAGATTCGGCTGGCCTCCTCTCGCAACAGAGAGTGCAATCTACTGTTTCACCATAACATCTAGAGGGGCGCTGTTTGTTTCACTCTTTGTAAAATACTCAATGAGAATGGGGGAGCGATGGGCCGGCAGCAACACACAGCAAAGGAGAATTATCGAAACAAAACAAAGTGTTTTTATTTATTTATTTAAATTATAACTACAATCCGAAAAAACAAGGGAAGCCTGGCTTCCCTTGGCCTCCGGGAGAAAACGCCACTGACTGACACCTGACACCACACATACACACGTAGGGAGAGCCGGGACGAAAGTAACGGAGCGATTTTATCCGTGCCCAAACAACTTTGACCGGTCAAATTACGTCAGAATTATCAGCATTCAATACTTAACAGACCTACTAAATATCAGGTCTAACTGTCAGGAGTCCGTGTCTCTCCCCCACACTCACACATATAAAATTCGATATGAATTGAAGAGCCGCATGAAACTGGCTCGCGAGCCGCATGCGGCTCGCGAGCCGCGGGTTGGCCACCCTTGTACTAGGGCATTGCATTCCAAGAACGTCTGTCCATCCTGGGAGAGGGATCCCTCCTCTGTTGCTCTCCCTGAGGTTTCTCCCATTTTCCCCTTTCAACTGTAGGGTTTCTTTGGAAGTTCTTCCTTGTACGATGTGAGGGTCTAAGGACAGAGGGTGTCGTATTGTCATACTGATATTCTGTACAAACTTTGAAGTCCACTGAGACAAATGTAACATTTGTGATATTGGGCTATATATATATATTTTTTTTTTTTATTTAGCCTTTATTTATACAGGTGTAAAATCTCCTTGAGACACAAGGTATAATTTGCAAGAATAGTAGAGAGAGAGAGTAGAGAGAGAGTAGAGTTCAGCGGTAACACTACCACACAAAGTTACAGACAGACAGGACACTAAACACAGAGGCAACACTAAAATACAACATCGTACAAAAATCCATTGAAATCCATATACAGTAGTCAGATATAGCAGGTGCAAACACCCACAGATGATTTCTCCAGCTTTTTTAAAATTAGTTTAAAATCCGTGATGGGTATCAAACTGGTCAGCTTAAGTTCCTGCTAAAGTGTGTTCCAGGTCGAGGGGACAGAGTATGATATGGCTTTTTTCCCAAGCACCTTGCGTACTGAGGGGACGGACAGAGTGAAGTAATTTTGAGATCGTAGTTACATCACTACAGTATATAAATAAACATTGATTGATTGAATTGCACTTTTAATATGTCCTATAGTCTGAGCTAAAAGCCTGATTTTTACACATTCTGATCATTTTGAACCTCACATAGACAACTACTGCCAAAATCATCACCCCAAAGCCGACAAAGCTAAGAGCCAGGGGAACATGAGAACGGGAATCTGTGGGGAGATAACAGTGGAAACATATTTTTGTTAAACAGTCATTTAAAATTATTATATTGGTCGTAGACAGTCACTTGAACGAAAGCTAACTCTAACTAACATTTCTGATTTTATATTTTTGACTCAGCCCACTCAAAAAGTACAACTATAAGTTTATGTAACATTTGAGTGAAGGATATGAACATGAATTATATCTATCCGTCCTTCTTACATACATTTTTGGGACAAGCTGATGGTGACGAATGTTGAGCGTCCAGTAACAGTTTGCAGTTTACAGGTGTAATTTTTGAATAGATCCTCATCTGACACCTTTTTGAAAACTAGAGATGCCGTCATCTTTATCTTGTCAGCATTTTTTTCTCTGGAAAAGAAAGGTAAAGTACAGGTGTTAGTTATGATATATGTCTGTGAATATCTGGCTACGTACTGTAAAACATTTGAACTTGCCGGTGTATTTGTGTGAAACATTTACTTTGTGTAATTGTAGAAAACGGGAAAGCTGCTGTTAGTTTCCACAAATGAATCAGTGCTAAACCAGAACACCTCATCAAAGTCCGAATACATGAGAGCTTTACAATCAATCACCTTTGGAGAGCCTAGAAAAAAACAGAGTTTACACAGTTCCATAATTTGTTCATTTAGTAAGAGGGTAAATGTGTGCATTCATCCATGTGTGTGTATCCACGCTTCAAGATTTATGCTCACCCAAATGTACATGAATCACACCACTTTGTGGCGATATGATCACTGGATTTTTTTTAGGTTTTTCTGTGTGAAGAAAGGGTGGAAACATTTTACATCTGTTTTCTTCAAAATACAAAAGTAAACATATGGTGTAAGTGTTTTTCTTACCCTTTGGTTGGATATCAAGCACCACTGTAAAGGTCATGTTATATATTTGTCCACAATACAGGTAAGATCTGGTACAGGTGTAGACACCATGGTCCTTCTCTTCAACACTTAAGAAGTAATTGGCTTTTGGCGTTGACTCGCCTTCCTACAAGAAAAATTGACATGTCATTTTAAGCATACAATGAATATAAACAGCCTTAAATAAAAAATAAACCACATTCAAATTCTACTTGAGCCACATAACCGCCATATAGGTGTAAGCCTTCACCAACTATTCAAGTTAATTTGGATTTTACATTAAAATGTTATCACTTCATTATTTTATTGTTTCATTCCAAAATTAGCACTTGGAGTATGGCAAGTGTTTTGTGACGTCAGAGAACTTGAGGATGAACCACCAAAATCTTATCAGTTCATCCTTGAGTCAATATATCCAATGTCTTCCTGAGATATGGCGTCATAATGTAAAAACAAATAATGTATAATGCAAAATATAGCTTTTAATTTCCCAATAAAATCAAGAATATCTTGAGTCGACTTACCTTGTACCATATAACGCCATTGCTGGTAATGTTGGGGGTGGTTGCAGCTGGTGTGTTCACATCAGGACAATACAATGAGCAGGCCTCTTGTGAGTGACATACCATAGGGTAATGGCTCCTCTGCTCGCACCCTTTGGACTGTTTTGTACATACTCTCAATCTGAACCCAAGGTGGGTGCTGGTATTGCTGTCATGTCAAAAAGATTAATGAAAATATTTCACATTTAGGTTTTAAACATCTTGCACAGGTTCTTAAAATAAGATAGAGACTGCTTCAAGGAACAGATTATAAGACAGACATTCATGGTCCCCATAAAGTCTGGACTGGTCCATGACTTGGATGGATTTGAGTGAAAAGACTTGTCCGCCAAGGAGGTTATAAAAACCTGTTTACATGTCCGAACTATTTATGTCAACTTCAAATCCTTGCTTAATATCAGATTCTGATCCAAAACAAATTAACGGTGGTAAATGGGGGAATATGATTGATTGTAAAAGAGGAATACTCTTTATCATTTGGTTTTGACTTTACCCCAGAGAGCATGAGTAATTCCCCTGATGGTTTGCAGTGGCGTTGAGAATCACCAGGCTCCTCCCATGAACCAGCAGGTCCCTGTGCCTCTGCTCAGCTGACGACATGTTGGGGGTCTGATCAATTTTCTGGCTGGGGGGACTGGTCCAGATCAGCTCAGCATCACAGTGATTATCCTCTCCATTCAGGGGGCAGTACAGCGCCACCATCTCACCAGCCTTCACATAAATCACTCTGGGGCTCCGGGGACTCACACCTGCAAATGAGTGTCACACATTTTTTGTTAATTGTACTTCCATTACCTATATATGAATGTGTTTATGGGCCTTAAAAATCAACTAAAAGATTGAAAAGTTATATTTTATGCTCAACGGGTATGGGAAATTAGTTTTATAATTAAAAAAATCAGTAAATGGACTGCTGTCAACCAATCAGAGCATAGCTTCAACTCTGAATTAAAAGGATGTTATTAAAGGAATAGTTATACATTTGCAAAGTATGTTATTACCTGCCATGATTAAGATGATAGACACCACTCTTATACAGCCAAATTCTTCTTATATTAATGCAAAGTGAAAATAATAATAACCAACCCTGGAATCTTGTTCTCACCCAGAAGTAACCACACCCAGGAAAGAAATAGTCTTGCACATGACTTCTTGTAAAACCAGAAATTATATGTATCTTTACACCTTGGTTTTTGCGCAGATTTAAAAATGTGATTTTTAAATTAAAAAAGGTTCATATTTATCGTAAAGACATGAAACTGATCTCATCTAACCCTTGGCAACAAAGAGAACAAGAGCACTTCCCAACGTATTTTAAATTTAGTTTTGATAACATCTAGATTATTTGAAAAACCATATACGAAATTTCAGCGACACTCACATTAATAATAGAAGTCCATATCTTACAGGTTATAGTGTATGTTCCACTTTGTGAAACAAAACCGTGTCCCTCCCTTGAGTCATTTATTTTATAGAGGCCTGATGAAAGTATATTGAAAGGCCAAGAGATTAACGATTACTGAGTAGCAAACATATGTCAAGCCACGTTCACTGAATAGTCTGGATATAGTACTTGTACTTGTGGGTGTTTTTTGACATGACCTATTACCACATGACAGTCAGTTGATCATCACATTTTCTATGTCACACATGTCCTATGACTATGATGATGACCTTGGATAATCTTTGGAAATTCTAAATCATTTCCTTAAATAGTTTTAATGTGGGTTATTTACAGCCTTGTTTCCATCACATTTCCATGGCACAGGTCATCTTATTATAATGACCCCTTACAGAGAGAGGCTACTCATACCATTAAAAACAGAGTGCCTAAATTAAATATTTAGATTAGATTAAATCAACTTTTTAAGAACTTTTTAATAGCAAATATAATTAAATTAAGTAATTGTGTTGACTACAGCAAGAAATTAATAATTGTCAACCTGTGTAAATGAAATGAATGACTTTCTAGATTATGGATTGAAGACCCTGGTGAAAACGACATTGTAAAAATCTTTATTTTAAGTAAAAACTTGAAGAGATAACAGCAGCAGCTTTAAGTTAAGATAACGTACTCATTACAAATTGTTGTTGTCAGTGATACTGATGCAACAATGTGTAAGTACAGGGGCGGTTCTAGGGGGGGGGGGGCAACAGGGGCCAGTGCGGGGAGAGAGGAGTCTCCCTCCGCAGCCGGTTGGCGTAGTTTTGGCACAATTCCGTTGTACAGACCGACGTTAACAGCAGCCCTGTCTGTGCACACGGAGACCGACTCTGTCGTCCGGTGATCTAACCGCCTTCTGGAAAAGCTTCACAAGTACGTCGGTACGCAAATGCGCTTTGTGACACAAGTGACGGTACGCATTTCAGATTACGCACATAACCTGCGTACCAGTTATGTGCACCCCTGTACTACAGCAAAAGTATTCTCCGTCGGGACTTCCTGCAACAACACCACGCCGTTATCAAAGATGTTCTATTGAGAAGACGATCACTACGTGACAAAAGTTTTCAAAACCGTGGCTACTGAAATCAATCTTACTAACTGCTGTCTGTGCAATTTACTCCGCGCGAGTTGGCAGACTTTATTTAGCTTACTTTAACATAATTTTTCATGGTGGGGCTAAGCCATTTCTTGGTATGGGTGTAGCCTACCCCAGCCATACCCTGGCACTGGCGGCACGTATGGGGCGGGCCATTCTGCACATGCGTTAAATGCGTTAAATATTTTAACGCAATTAATTAAAAAAATTAATTACCGCCGTTAACGCGATAATTTTGACAGCACTACTAATAATACATTATTATAAGTGTTTTTATGTACAATCTTAATCTACAAAAGTAACCTGTCACTATTATGTCAATTAAATGAAATTAATTAAACAGCAATTACCATACCTGAAATGCTATAGATTGCACTTTAAGGTAAAGTACAATACAATATAAATGGGGATTAGGTTTATCACACGTTCATTACTGGAGTTAATATTTATATCACTGCTCATTTAACACGAAATGAAAATCAGATGATGGATCTCCATCTTTGAAAGTGACATTTTTTTTGAATATACAAATATTACCATGAATGTGGATACATAGGCCTACTGTATTATAACAATACGGTATTCTGTTTTTCACATTTGTTATTTGTTATTTTTTAATCTGTTCGAAATAAAGACTGAAATAAATAAATAAATAAATATTTAAAACCATAGGATTCGACTAACATGTTTACACTTTATTCAACAACCTGCCTAAAATGACATCTATAGCTTTGATTTTCATACCTGTCAAAGACGAAAGGAATAGAGTCAGAAGTAATTTCGCAGTCATGATGATAAAGCCACACATCAAGGATCAGGAGAATCTCTGTTTGCTTCAAAGCAACTCTGTTGACGACGGAAAACTGAAACAGAAAGCGAAGGTTTACAAAACCTGTTCGTTGTTCAGCCAAGTGCAACAGAGCAGCACCCTCCCCTTTTTCTCTTTAGCCTACATAACTCTAGTCTTGGAAGACAGTACAAAAAAGAAAAGCAGACATATGCTTTGATAAATCTAAATATGTCTTCGGTAATAATTATGTGTTAAGCCTCGCGTACAAGTAAGTCAGCAAAAGCTTGATGTTTCCATCTCACTATTTCGTGTGTTTACAGATGTGTTAGATGGTTGGCTCTGCACATGCGTTTCATTATGGAGGGGGGCTCAGTCTCTCCCTATTTGGGTGATATCGTGACTTACTTGTTTTCATTTGCAGGGATATACAAGTTCCCCGAATTAAGCCGACTCTTCTTCCAGAGAAAGCTGAGATCCTTTAAAGTGTGCAAGATGTTGGAGATATTTTACAAGTCTGTGGTCAGTGCTGCATCGGAGCCGCTGACACTGACACCAGCAGATTTAGGAAACGGATTAAGACATTATCAACACATTTGGAGATGTGGAGATCGGACACTAAACAAACAAACCCTTCAACAACCAAAATGCACCCATCTGTAGTGTCCTCAACCTTTTACATTTATATGGAATCTAAAATGCAATTCCTTAAAGGTAGGATAGGTAATAATTGAGAAACTAGCTCGAGTGCGCTAGAATTTGAAAGTACGCACTACGCAGCCGGAAAAAATCCGCCCCTTCCTTCAGACTTCCTTACAGAGCCCCTCCTCCAACACACACGAACGCGCACATGACCAATGAGGGCACGAGATAAGTTTGTGAGGTGGAAGGCTGACAGGCAGGTAGGCCATACAGTTATTTTAGCCGGGCCGGCTAAACTTCGTGCTTTTTACAACGCCACGGCTTCCACGGATGACATTTTTTAAATGTAGGCTATTTATTGGCAAAGCATTTAATGTATTCATTGCTATCGGGATGTTAAGAGCATTCCATGGAATATAACAAAAAGTGTTTCCGAAGTGAATTACCCCACCTTTAATTAATGTAAATATTATTATTTATATTCGACAGCTATTTCTATCTTTCACTGTCAATATATTTTACATTACTTTTGTTTATATTTCAAATGTTAAGTTTATATTGACTGTTTAAGTTTAGTCAGCATTTTCACAATAGCCTACGTGTAATACATGCTGCTGTGACTAACATAATGTTTCCAGTGTATGATCGATGTCAGGTGGTCGGGTATTGAGTCACTTGTTCACATGACAATGAATCCATTGAAAGAAAACCCTGAAATAATCTTGAATTTTAAAAAAAGCGTTTACTCAATTTAACAGTCATAGCCTATGTTAAATATGAAACATAGGCTAACGTATTAACATTAGTTAATAACAGAGATGGCAAGAAGTACACACACCCTTTACTCAAGTAGAAGTACAGATAGCCTACTCGTGTTTACAAATACTAAAAGTAGAAGTAGCCTACTGACTAAACGTCTTTACTCAAGTAAAGAAGTATGGGCTTCGAAATGTAGCCTTAAGAAAAAGGTAGCCTACCGATAAGTATCAACTGTTTTATAGCTAGTAACTGGCCTCACTTTATATTAATAGAACAATGATGTCATTGTTAGCTAATGAATGTTTCGATGCTGAACAACGGCAAAATGACAAAGTTTTCATTGGTCCTTCTTGTTTAGAGAAGACCAGGACATGATGGATACACGGATCGTGTTAAAATCAATGACTTTAAATAATAATGGTCACGCCACGAAACGCAGATTAAAACTAAAGTAACGAACCTGTTTTGAAAATGTAAGAAGTAGAGAAAGTAGACCTACAGGTAGGCTATTTGTGTTAAAAATGTAAGAAGTAAAAAGTCGTCAGAAAAATAAGTAGTCCTAGTGGAGTATAGGCAGTGGCGACTGGTCATTAGGGGCAGGTGGGGCACAGCCCCACCTAGTGTCAGCAGAAAGTATTAAAAGTAATGATTACAAAAAAATGCAAAAAATATATAAAATATATTTTAAGATCATGTTTAATCATCTGATTCGTCTGTACATTGCTGTGTTAGTCTGTGTTCTTCTAATTAGTGTCTACAGTGTGTGCCTATTGAGCTGTTTAGAGCCATGTGGGACAAAACCCGATCCTGCCCCTCCCTCTCCCTGTTTAAGGCAATGGTGACTGTAAAAACTACACTGCGCATGCTCAGAGTATTGTCCTATTTAATGTGTGTGGCAAAAAAATAATGATCATAGGGGCATAGAGCTGCCATCCCCACCATACGTCATCTCACATAATTCAGAGCTGATTGGCTGTAAGTACGTGTGGTGTGTGAAGAGGAGGAGAGAGAGCTGCAG